TCGTAAGAGGCGACTAATGAGGTAAATAGAGAATGAATATGTCTCAAAAAAGAAATTCATACCGCATCGGTCGTCGCGCGGGACAACAAGGGCCGCGTCCCTCAGTAAGGAACCAGGCTGAGGTCGAAAAGTTTGCTACTYYAACAAACTCTACTCAACAAGCAAATGAGGATTTCCACGCTGAGGATTCTCCTCTTAGTGGCTCTCATGATGCACCATCAGAAAACCCTAGAAAGACAATTAGAACAAAATGGTCGAGAGAAGAGTACAAAGGTGTAATGGAAGCATATATTTATGCACAATTGAAACCAACAACGTCGGTTACAACTGACTCATATAATATTTGGCGTAAAAACAACCCAATGTCAAGACCTTATATGACCGCAAACAAACTTGCAAATACAAGGCGAGATATAGTGAACAAAAATAGACTTACAGAAATTGAAATCCAAATGATAAAAAATAAAATATCTCAGGAGCTGGGCATCAGTGATGTAAGCAGTCAAGATAATGTGACTGCAGAAAGTTTTGTAGATAYCTTGCAGAATGATGAACAAATGATTGAAGTTGATGAGCAAGAACAATCAAATACTATTGATGTTACTGATGAAAAGYTAGTGGATATGGTAGAAACAATCATGAGAAAATGGGAAGTAGTAAAGGAAATGGYATTACAAGATAGACCATCAATACCAAAAATTAAACACGATAAGAAAGCGAAAGCAGTGCTGGATACAGTAAATAAAGCTCTCACAGAGATAAAGCACAAGCTTAAACAGAAATTTTCTATCACTGAAGTAAATGAACTTGTTTTTTCTTCCGCTTTTGCGGCTTGTGACACTCTTGGTTTAAAATCTCGTAAYAAGGTATGTAAGAAWGTCAAGCAACCACAATGGAAGAAAAAAATTGAAAAAGACATCCAAAAGATACGTGGTGAAATATCAATTCTATCCYAGATCAATAAAGGGAAAAATGTGAGTTTAAAGAAAAGAACGAAATCTGTCATGAGAAGGCATAACATCATAGATAACGACAGTATCCCAACAGTTGTTGAAAAGCTTAAACAACAACTACAAGCAAAATCGCAGAGGATAAGGAGATTTGATAAAAGACAAAAKTTTTTCCACCAAAATAAACTTTACAAAGAAAACACCAAGGTGTTTTATAGGGAACTAGGGAAAAAGAAGACCGAAATTCGTGAAGTCCCTCAAAAAGAGGATGTCGAAAATTTTTGGGCCAATATATGGGAGAAAGAAAAGTATCATAATGAAAACGCTGGATGGCTGAAGGAAATACATGACCAATACCAACAAACTCCTGCACAAAAATGGTCAAAAATATCAATAGAGGAGACAAAAGCAGCCGTCCAGAAATCCAGCAATTGGAAAGCACCAGGATGTGATGGCATAGTAAACTTTTGGCTAAAATACCTGCCAGCAATTCATGAAGATCTGACATATGCTTATAACAGACTTATAGAAAATCCTGAAGAATGTCCCAATTGGTTAACAACTGGTATTACGTATCTTCTTCCAAAAAATGAAGAAACCATCAACCCTAAAAATTATCGGCCAATCACTTGCCTCCCTACAATGTATAAAATCTTAACATCAATATTAACATCTAGAACTTATGATCATATGGTGGAGAATAACCTGATGCCTCTAGAACAAAAAGGATGTAGAAAAGGAAGTTATGGGTGCAAAGATCAGTTGCTTATAAATAAGGCCATAATGGAAGAAATAAAATCCAGAAAGAAAAATCTGTCAACAGCTTGGATTGATTACAAAAAAGCATTTGATTCTGTTCCCCATAGCTGGATCATGAAGTGTCTTGAAATTTATAAAGTCTCCCCTACTTTGATTAATTTTATCAGAAACAACATGTCACAATGGAAAACAACCCTAAACCTCAATCACAGTGAGGGAGTATTAACATCCAGACAAATTAATATAAAAAGCGGGATTTTCCAAGGTGATTCTCTTTCACCACTTCTCTTTTGTATTGCTCTTACCCCATTATCCTCACTCTTGAATAAAAGTAGACATGGTTACAAGTCTGGCAACAAAGTTATCAATCATTTATTCTATATGGATGATTTAAAAACTTATGCGAAAAATGATGATGAACAAACAGGCCTACTTACTATCGTTAAAGGCTTTAGTGATGACATCAAAATGGAATTTGGCCTTGACAAATGTGCCAAAGCAACTTTTAAACGAGGTAAATTGGTGAAATCTGAAAACATTGTGATTGATATAAATACAACCATTCAAGATCTTGAACAAGAAGGCACATATAAATATTTAGGAGTAAGTGAAGGTGATGGAATAGAACATTCTAGCATGAAAGAGAAAATCAGAAAGGAATCACTATAGACGAATACGACTGTTGCTAAAATCAGAACTAAATGCCACTAACAGAATAAATGCAATCAACACGCTTGCAGTCCCAGTTGTCTCGTACAGCTTCAATATCATTAATTGGAAATTAGAAGATTTAAGAAGACTAGATAGAAAAACTCGAAAGCTGCTGACAACTGCAAAAATGCACCATCCTAAAGCCGATGTCGATAGGCTTTACCTTCCAAGAACATCAGGTGGTAGAGGTCTTATTCAAATTGAGACAAGCTACAAGTTAACCACTATCGGTCTTCACACGTATTTGAACTCCAATGAGGACTGCCTTCTTATGATTGCTAGAGAGCATGAGCAATTGAAGAACACAACATCTGTAGATGTTCAAGCTGCTAAGTTTAAAAGAGAATTCGATGTACCAGATATCGAAAAATTGGACAATGAAGGAGCTACCACCTATGCTCGAAGAACAAAACTTAAAGCTAAAAATCTGGCACTTGAACACTTAAAACATAAATGGGAAGAAAAACCTCTTCATGGTCAGTACCCAAAACGAATTAATGACAAAGATGTGGATCAAGCACAAACGTATGAATGGCTTAGAACATCTGGCCTTAAATCTGAAACAGAAGGGTTTATCATTGCTGCACAAGACCAGTGTATCAAGACCAACTACTATAGGAATAAGATCTTAAAAGATGGAACAGACCCAATGTGTAGGATATGTGGCAAAAACCAAGAGACTATAGACCATCTTGTTTCTGGCTGCTCAGAATTGGCCAAAACAGAGTATATTCATAGGCATAACAAAGCAGCAGCATACCTCCATTGGGCAATTTGTAAGCACTATAATATTGAGGTCAAAGATAAGTATTATGAACATGAACCATCAACTGTAGAAGACAATGAAGAAGCTACTATACTGTGGGATATGCCAATACAAACTGACAGGGAAATAAAGGCCAATAGACCCGATATAGTAGTGAAGAATAAGAAAGAGAAAACCTGCTTGCTTATTGATATGTCTATTCCAACTGAGAGAAACACCTCCGTAAAAACATCAGAAAAATTATCCAAATACAAAGATCTTGAAATAGAAATTCAAAGAATGTGGGGTATGAAGACCACAACAATACCTGTGGTAATAGGTGCTCTCGGTCTAATCAAGAAAGGGATGGAAAAATATGTCAAGCAGATCCCAGGTAACATCAGGGTACAGGAAATACAGAAGGTTGCTCTCCTTGGCACTGCTCATATAATAAGGAGGGCACTGTCAATCAAATAAACCATACACCCCCTCATAGATGCCCCAAGTCCAGGGCATTGGACTCGGCATCATGAGTGAATAGAGCAAAATAATTAAGAGATATAAAATAATAATAATAATAATAATAAT